CTGTTCCCTTGTTTCTACCACTTTATCTTGCTTCTTTGTGTGTACTGACATGGTCTGTTGTCTTTGAGGCATTTTGGTATTGTATTAAGATCTCTGTTAATTGTCTGTAAAGAGCAGCCATGGGTGAATCAGGCTCTTCTTGGTGGTTTTTTATCATTGGCCTATTGGTGGAGAAGGAGGTGCTGGCTCTTGCTCAATAAGTGAAGTTGCAGGAGGTGTGGGTGTACTTGTATCTTATTGGGACTGTTGCTGTGTCCCACTCAGTTAGGCAAAAATTACAGTTGAAAAACCATCAAAAAGCTAAACGCACATGGACATAAAATACAACATGAAATCACATGGGAACAGTAACCCAAAAAAAGAAAAAGGTGAGAAAGAAGAAGAAAACAGGAAAACCTGCAATATCTGGGGATAGGGCACTAAGAGAAAAAAGGTAGAGAAAGAGAATAATGAAGAAAAAAATGGGAAAAATGCAAGAAACAAACAAACAAACAAACAAAAACCCAACAAGGAACAGGGTTAACCATGAGGAAAAAAAAGAAAAAGAAAGGAAAAAAAGAGAGAAAGAAAAAAAAAATCTTTATCAGGAACTGGGAAAAGGAAAAAAAAAAAAGGTGTAAACTAGGACCTTTTCAGTTGTGCAGGTCTGGAGAGTTCTTGGGGTTACTGGAATGCAGAACCTCTTCTTAAGCCCCTGGAATCTGGTAGAGCACTGTCTCTTTAGGTTGTCTCTAGCTGCTGGTTTTGTGTTGATTTGTTTTGTCTTGGTTTTAAGGTTGAATATTTTGAAAAAATGAAGCTGGTGTATTTCATTTTATTATTGATTCAGGTATGTTGGGTTGCTCTGCTGTTTTCTTTGTGATGGTGGAATCACTGTTTGGAACGTGGATATGTGTTTCTGTTTGTTGTAAAGTGGGTTTAGAGTTTGAAGCAGGAGGTTTCGTGGTAATTGGCTAAATATGGTTTCTTCTATTGAATGAGTGAAGTTATTGGCGTAGAAGGTCGGAGCAGAAGAAAGAAAGCTTGTTGTTGCTAGGGTCGGTTTCTGGGGCTTTGTGCAGGCTATTATCGATGACATAATTATTTACAAGACCACAGCTTAATCTCAGGAAAGTTTCCTGTTGTTAGAGAGTCACAACTTTCCTCTAGGCTCAGGCACACTCAAAGACCCCTCAATGCCAAAGAGCCGATCCAAGGCAAATTCCTGGGACCGCACTCAGCTGCGGCTTCCTCTCTCTTCCCACCCCGTCTGCCTGCGGCACTGGGGCAATCCTGCCAGACTGCTAATGGCTGGCTCTGGACTTTGTCTGTGATACCGTCCACCTGTGGCGCCAAAGATGCGTGCAATTTCAGCTGTGTTGGAGTTGGGGGGGTACCTGCTAGTAAACCATGGTCCCGATAGCTGTGACAAAGATAAGCACAATGTCTCCCAGGCTGACCCAAGCCTACTCAGTGACCCGCTGAGAGAGGAGGGAGCTCGCCTCCCTGGCGCAACAATGAGCTCTCCGCTTGAGTCTCAGCGGTGGTGCACACACCTGCCTGCACCCAGATGACCCAAATTACAGACAAAATCAGGTGTTGGAGGCAGATCCCTGGGGCTGCCTGCTGGGATATGGGAGTGGTTGCTGGTATGCTGATATAAGTTGTCTTCTTTCTTGGCTCGCGGGGATCTCAGGTGGCTGCCCTCGCTCCCTAGTCAGTGACTGGCCCAGGGAAATTTCTCGGGCCTCTCTTGGCTGCCTGTCTGTCCTCTGCCAGGTAGCTCTTTCTTAAATAATCTCCCTGTGACTTTCCTCTAATTCTGCTCTTCTGTGTTTGGTGCACTCTGATTCAGTGAGCTGTTCAGTGCACCAAAATTCCTAATTCAAACTGTTGTACCTAGTTTTTCAAGCACTTACATGCTAGAGGGAAATAGCGTGGTGCTTACTGACGAGACTCCATTTTGAATCTCCGGCAATTTACTTTTGTAGTGATATTGCCTTGGAAACCTAAGGAGGGGTCGCTATGAGTCGGGTTTGACTAGATGACAGTGAGTTTGGTTTGGTTTGGTATCACATGATAGAGGAGCTCTAGTGGGATAGTGCCTAAGGCATTTGACTGCTAACCAGAAGGTTGGTGGTTCAAACCCACCAACCACTCCACAGAAGAAAGACTGGGCAATCGCTTCCATTAAGATTTACTGACTTGGAAACCTAAAGGGGGTTGCTATGAGTCCGAATCGACTCAATGACAGTGAGTTTGGTTTTAGTTTGGTATCATATATGCAAAACTACAAGTCAAATAGAGTAAAAACTTAAATGAAAAAACAAATTAAAAAAAAATCCTTAGATGGAAAATAGAAAAATCTTGGAAGAAAATCTAAGAGACTATATATACCATCTGGAAGTGGAGGAAACTTTGTTACTCAAGGAAACTAAGAAGCCATAAACAAGAGAAACATGGTTGATAAATAAAAGTCAAAACTTTTGTATGCCTTTGAATTGTGGTGCTGGTGAACGATGCTGAAAATACCATGGACTACCAGTAGAACAAACACATCTGTCCTGGAAGAAGTCTAGCCATAATGCTCCTTAGAAGTAAGAATGGCCAGACTTCATCTCACCTAACTTCAGTCATGTTGTCAGAAGGGACCAGTCTCTGGGGAAGGATATCATGCTTGGTAAAATAGAGGGTCAGTGAAAGAGGGGAATACCCTCAAAATGGATTGACACAATGGCTGCAATCATGGGCTCAAGCATAGCAAGGATTGTGTGTATGGTGCAGGAATGAGCAGTGTTTTGCTCTGTTGTACACAGGACCACTATGAGCTGGAGCTGACTGGATGGCAGCTAGCAACAACAAACTATTGAATATTATTAAGCCATTAGAAAGAATGGAATAGACCTAAAACAGTTTGGAAGATTTTCGAGGGATGTTGTTGAGTGAAAAAAAGGAAGCCCAAGAAGTGTGTACAATATAATCCAATTTAAAAAATATACCTAAATAGGTATGTGTGTGTGTGAATGTGTGTGTATGTGTTGAAAGTATAAAATAACACACACTATGGAGTTAATATGTGGTATCTAGTTCAATGGCACATAACAACAACAAGAAGTGGATAGAGTATGATGTGGGAAGAAGAACGAAAGAAAGGGGGATATGGGAAGCAAGCAAAATTTTTTTAAAAGACTGCATTAAAATTTACAGTATGTAAAAAGTATATATTTGTCATGAACATATATTTTTATTTATTTATCATGGCCTAAGAAGGGACTGGCCTATTCCAACTCCTTCATTTTACAAGTGAGGAAACAGAGGCTAGGTAAGGTGATTACCATGCTCATCACTTATTCGCTCCATTCCTCAAATGGTTAAAAGTTATTTTATTTCAGAGAAATAAAAGCTAAAAGCAAACGATGATATTTCATTAGTTCAATAAGTAAAAACTCTATTTATATATGAAAATCAGCCCTGAACTGTTGTATTCAACAATTGAAGAGAAAGGCATAGATCCTATGTAAGTTCTCCTATATAAGCTAGTAGAACCATTGGTTAAAACCGTAAGTTCTTACCCTCAATCATTAATTTATTTATCCTTTTTATTCAGTCAACATGCTTTGAACACTCACTGTATCCCTATCCTGTGAGATGCTGGAGTAATAGAACATAATGCCCATCCTTAAGGGATAGAACATAATGCCCTGCAGTGGGAAAGTGACAAGCCATAAAACATGTCAGCCTGAATACAAACCATGTATGGATGGAACAATTCATTTTGATTGGGATTTCAAGGATGGCTGCATGGAAGGAAAGGGTGACACTTGAATGGAGCCATGTAGGCTGTAGGATGTCAGATGAAACACAAGAGCAAAAGCTAAGAAATAGCATATATAGCATGTTTTGGGAGATGATCAGAATTTAGCTCAATCCAAGAAAAGAACACATGGGGGAAGAACTAGAAAGTCACATGTTCCAGCCTGAGGCTAAAAGTAAATTCAACTGAAGCGCAACACAATTTGCCATCCCAATTCCTGCAACACATAGGAAGTAAATGATGTCTGGGGAAATCTTGACCAACTAAGTAATCTCTTTGTTCAATTTATTGAATGATTTTGGGATATTACCATGTACTGTCCAGGGTCTAAATCTCCCATCATTCCTTTCAGATGCGTGTTTTCAGTTCTGACAGCTTTATATTTCATGTCTGAGACCTGAAAGAAGATTAGAAGGTAAAAGGTGAATGTAAAATTCATTTTCAAAAACTCATAGTTCTATTCAAATTATTTATTTTTTTAAAGTACAAATTATTATTTTTTGAAGTGTTGGTGAAGAGAAATACTTTTCTGCTTAGGCATGATCATCATGAATCAAGCATTCTTATTCAATTCTTTTATCCTCTCTTAAAACTTTGGCAGGCCCCACTTTCCTTTTCTGTGTCAATGCTAACTTAAAAACAAATACTTACAATAATGACTCATTTACTTTTTTGCCGCCCAATTCCAAAAGTCCATTTCTCACTTATATTTTCTATTCTATGCAAATTATCACAAATCACAATTTTTAAAGCAATCCCGTCTGCCACTCCTCAGAAGGAAGGTTGAGCAATCTACTACCCTAGAGATACTGCCTTGGAACCCAAGGAGGGGTCACTATGAATCGAATCGACTTAACAACAATGAGTTTGGTTTTTTTTTTGTCCATTAAATTTCTTCACTACCTAATTTTTACAATACACAATATGACTTTCATCCTTAATTTCTCCTTTCTAGTATTTCTGCCCAATTTCTTACATTTTTTATGTGACTACTTCATTTTGTCTCATAACTCATTTTTTCCTTTCTTGATTTCTAGTTGGTACATAAACCTACTGTTGTCAAGTCGGATTTGACTCACAGAGAACCCTCCTTGGGTTTCCAAGGCAGGAGCACTACGGAAGTAGATTGCCCAACCTTCCTTCCGTGGAGTGGCTGGTGGGTTTGAACCTCCAGTTTTCTGGTTAGCAGTGAAATGTCTTAGGCACTATGCCACTTGGTACACAGACATAGTATTATCTGCCTTTTATTTATCTAGGCAAGTCAGCCCCAGGGATACAGGTGAGGAGAGACAACTCAGGGACGCCCAAAGCAGCAGGCCAGAAGAGCAGGAGAAAGGGGATTAAAAGTCAGGAAGCCAGAGAGAAGAGCAATCAGCCAAAGGGATTAGGTGAGGAGAGGAAACTCAGGCCCGCCCAAAGCAGCAGGAC